CGAGCGGGCCAGGAGCTCTATGGGATGGAGAGTCGAGTCGGCCCAGGCTGGTCACAGCAAAACTGATGAAGAACTTGGGCCCCCGCATCAGGCTTTGATTCCAACAGCAGCTTCAGTCCTCGCTGGTTTGCTATTTTGGTCAGGTAATTTATCTTCCTGACCTTCAGCTCCTTGGTAAGACACAGTTATTAATAGAATCTTCCTCTCCAGGCGGTTGGGAAGAATAAATGAGATAATGTATGTAAAGCACTTAGCTTGGTTCCCGGCATAACATGAGTGTTTCATAAGTAGTAATTATTGAAATTTTAATGGATGGCATTATGTATCAAAAGCTTTTAAATGCATGTCCTCTTTGACCCAGAAATTTGCCTTTTAGAATCTATCCTCAGTAAACAATCAGAAACGCCCACAGTGATTTATTATGCTTGTAATGTTACTTATTATATTGAGAAACCATAAACAACCTTAACATTTAATCATAGAAGCTTTAAATAAATTATGACCCAGCCATACAAGCTCTATGCCTTTTAGCAATCAGGTTGTAGAATATTTAATGATACAGGAAAATCTTCACCCAATATGTTAACGGGTCAAAGCAGGTTATAAATCTGCATTAATGTACGATCCAACTTTCCACATGTTTGCTTGGTTCTTCCCAGAAAGTTTGTTAAGGGCCGTGAGGCGCTCGCTGCTCCCTTAAGGAGCATTTGAAAGATCTTCCCCAACATATGTGGATAGAGACATTTAACCGGACTGCAGCACCTCGTTGAATGTTATGTCGAATGGTATTCCTTGTGCCCATGTGGCTCGTCTGGCACCAGCTGGCCTTCTGGTAGTTTCTATTTATCTTTCCATCTAAGCAACTCTGATGGCACAACAGCTCTCAGGCCCCAAACTTGGTGCCTCAGGGTCCCTGGGTTGTTTGTTCCCATAGGGATTAGCTGCTAGGCCCCCTGACCCCCAACAAATATCAGGGAAGAAGGAGGGGCAGGGAAAGGGGCCCCAAGAGCTGAGACGTTAAACAGTTACTCTGTGTGGCTCTGGCCAAGTTACCTCCTGTGAACATCAGTCAAAGGTGGCCACCAGCAGCGCCCTCCTGGGACTCAGCCCCTTGTAATCCCTGCCTAGAGCGGGTTGGGCCTATTGACTGGCTTCTTTTGACGTTTTTTAAGTTGAGGTACTATGCGATTCAGAGGTGTAGGTTGTAGGATACGTGAACCCATTAGGCTTTCGCACTAGCTTCTGCGGCTGTCACCTGCAGCCTGGATCGCGTTGATGCAGGAGGCACTCGGGAGCATGGGTGTGGGGCATGCGTACGTGATTATGGACACCTGGAGCATGGGCGTGGCCGTGCGTAAGTGGGCACACCGGAGCCTAGAGCCCATCGCTGTAAGGGCAGCATCATTCACAGACAGGACGGCTAAAGAGGACGAGCGCGAGGTTGCAGAAGAGACGAGACCATGAGAGAAGGCCGGAGAGAAGAGAGAGCGCAGAGTTGGCGAGGGGCAGGGGGCTTGCCAGCCTCTCGGTCCCCCTGCGCTCCCTGGGCCTGGTTGCCCCACCAGGAGGCTCACACTGCTAGCCTCAGTCACTGACTTCTAGTGAGGAGAGATGGGCTGGAAAGGAGCGGCTGGTAAACTGACTTCCACCTTGGCCGCCCGCTCTGGTTCTCGCTGAGTGCGCCGATGAAGGCGGCTGCCATGTCAGGAGTGGCCTCGGAGGAGCCTACTTGTCAAAGAATTGAAGGTGGCCTCCGGCCAACAGCCTTCGAGGATCTGAGTCCTGCCACAACCACACAGATGAGCAAAGAAGTGGATCCTCCCCCAGGGATTGCCGGACCATATGGTAGGTCTATTTCTGGTGTTTCAAGAAGCCTCCTTACTATTTTCCCTCGGGCCTGAATCAGACCATAATCCCACCCCCAGGGTATAAGGGCTCGCTCCTTTTTCCCTGTATCTTCGCCAGCATGTTGTTTCCAGTCTTTTTCCTACAGAGCACCCCACAGGTGGGAGTTGGTATTGCATTGTGGCTTTGATTTGTGTTGCCCTGATGAGAGTAATAATGTGCGAGTTTTGTGTATCTGTGTCCATCGGAATGTCTATTTCATTCCTTTTTGATTGAGTTCTTCTTTTCCTTTTTGTTGAATCCTATGAGCTCTTTGTTCCTGCTTGTCTCCTCCAGGAGGTGGATAAAATGCATCCAATCAGAGGCTTAAAGGAGGCAGTTAGGAGGGAGTAAAGAAATATAGGTGGTGGTTTGGGACCCTGAAAAGTGACAAAGGACCAGGTACTTTGGGGAATCAAGAAAGAACTTGCAGCCAGCGTATACTTCCAGCGTGACTGGGAGAGAGTGGAGCAGAGACCCTCTGCAGGGTAGCGGAGCCGTTCACACTTGAGGTGCCTGAGAGGGTTTTTAGGGCCCTGCTGAGCCTCCTGTG